CAGTTTACTTTTTTTCAACAGACTAGTTTCTACACATGTATTTGTTTCTGTCTTTTAAAATCTCTCTCCTTGTTTTCTTTTTTCAAATGCTATTTTAGAACATTCACCAAGTTCACTTTTTAATTCTCTTCAGAATGCCTTGACATAGTGAGTTCTAAAAAACAATATAAGAAGTCTAAAGGTTAAACCAATATCTGACTCAAGCTAGAATTTGAGGACATAGAAATGCATTTTCCAGTCTTATAGCTTTGCAAATAAACGAGTGTTTTCCTGATCCACTTTTATTAGTCTACTGGTTTGAGAATATACTGCTGAGAAAGCAGAATCTAGGAACTTTTAGCTCTGAATCATCAATGAAGATCTTTGATTGCTATCAGATTCCCTTAGTGCAGATAGATCTATCTTCAGGTTAATTTGAAGTATTTACCATTGTGCTGACTCTTTAAAATGGCTACAATTTACATGTCTTTTGTGTTTATGTGAACACTTCCAGAGTACAGTCATCAGCAACCTGAACTTCCTAAATGCCTGTCGCTAGAAATTTTATGACTCTTAACAACCTCACAGGTGAAAAAGTTTTCACCTGTGATTGAAAATTCAGCCAAATAGTAGCTTCCAGGTTTCCTCTTTATCTAAAGTGTGCTATGTTTTGGGAAGTGTTTTAAATAATTGTTTATCTCATACAGTCTGAGATACATAGCACGAAATTGACTTTGTACCTATCAGAGAGGATGATGGTCAAAAGCCCAGTGCGTACTGAATAAATAAATTAACACAGTGACACTCTGATGCTTGACAAATAGAGTGTGGTAAATTTATTTTTACTAAACCTTAATAATCAATGAAGTTTAAATTATGCTTTAATAGAGATCTCATACAGTGGCATTTGGTGACCTGCCTTTTAAAATAATGTGTTTGAAAGTTGTCTTCAGTTTTCATAGTATAGTAATGATACCTCAAGACTAATGCGTTAATTTTCTACAAACTTAAAGTAATAATCTCCTGAATGCTTGCTATTTTTGGCTGGTATAATATTTTCCAATTATCAGTATAATATTTTCCCATGTAATTTCATCATCTTTGTCACATATACCCCTATGCTTAGAAAAAGTAATTAGTGGTTAATGAAAACAACTGGCTCATTAAGAAAGGAGAAAGTCCCTCCAAGGGAGTTTTAGAAATCATGGAAAGATTTTTAAGTCTATCAAATCCATGAACTTACTTTGGTTTAGACTTATTGTGCCATTCTTTTTGATAATGACACATCTTGCTGCTACCTAGGAGGCACAGAATGGGGCTGGGTGAGAAGAGGATGTAAGAGGAATAACTTATATGCACACAAATTTCATAGAAGAGGTAGTTGTGCCTAAACAAAACACTGGTTATAATATTATATTAAAGGAATATTTTTTTTCCTAAGGTATACATTATGACAGTAATAAAGAATTGGCTTTCTTATATTAAAATTACTTAATTTTTTTCTATGATATTTGTATTTGTTTGTGAGCACAACCATAACAAAGCACCATAGACTAGGTGCTTTAAACAACAGAAATTTATTTTTTCACAATTTTGGAGACTAGAATTCCAAGATCAAGGTGTTTGCAGGCATTATTTCTTCTGAGGCCCTTCTAGGCTACAAAAGGCCACCTTTTCTTTATTTCCCTTTTCTCCCTCATGTTCTCTTCTCATGAGGACACAGGCCATATCAGATTAAAAACAATTCTAATTCCCCCCCATTTAACCTTAATTACTTCTTTAAAGACCTTATCTTCAAATATAGTCACATTCAGAGGTTCTGCAGTGATGACTCTAAATATGTGAATTTGGGGCACACAATTTAGCCCACAACAGTATTTAAGATGTATATTAATTTTGTGTATAGACTTATTTGTAAGGGTTTTTTTTTTTGTATCACTCATAGTTCTGGTATATCTCATGTTTCAGTAAACATGGCATATTGAATTCTTCTTGGTTTCATAGAAAATCCATTTTATATGTATAACAGATGCTTGAAATACTTGTTAGATTATATTTTTATTTCACACATGCTTCCTGATTAATTTTAAATATTTTTATATTTAATTTTACTTTTTAGTGTTTAGCCCAAATGTTCTAATCAATCTATCAAAAACTTAATGCTAGCCAATCATATATATTTTGGTTCATTGGTACCAGCTAGCTCATGTGACACTTAATAAATAGTGGGTTTTTAAAATAAAATCATAGATAACTCCCTTCAATTCTAAAACCTATTTGAATATATTTAAGATATTAAACAGAACAATTATACTTGGAAGTGTATTTGTGTATATGTATTTTTCTGTGTTTGTGTGTGACTATATGAAGGTGCTTGGACTTTTAAGTTCTTGTTGAAAAATTAATTATCATGTTTTTATCTTATTTAAAAATGATTTTATATGTACAACAAAAATATCGATTGGAACAAGTTTATTTCTGTATATTTACAATAAATTATGACATTTAATACATTTAGAAAGTATAGTTTAGGAAAAGTAAACCTATTCCTTTGAAAGCGTGTTGTCTTTTTTTTTAGTATAGCATTCAAACATTTTACTCAATGCTGCATTCAAACAACTTAAACTCCCCCCCAAACTTGCACATTTTATACAATAAAGAGAACTACCCTATTGCCCAGCAGATCTTGAGAAATTTGTGCACAAATCTTGCTATCCAAAATGCCTTGTTTTCTGATAAATTTTTAGCTCTTCCATAAAAATGTGTTTATAAAACATTAATGGGCAATTTAACTTCAGCTTCCAGAGAGAGATTTCTGCTGCATCAGATCTTATATTTGCCATGATACAGTATTCCCTTTCCCAATACTTGTTCTTATTTCCCAGTAGGTCTCACCATCTGCTATTGATGCCTGTCTGGAGTAGGAAATCTCTCCTCCAGCAATTCTTGTTCAAATATTACTCTTCAATACCACCATCTTCCCAGGTTACAAATTGTTCCCTTATATTTGTACCCCAAAGTCAAATCTGCAGATAACTATCTTCAAAGATATTTAATGACCAAACTGCCTTTTAATCTGTTGAACCCAAAAGCAAAAAGGAAGAGTTTTAAAACTCTAAAGAAGAAAGCTGCTTAGCATTTTAAATATTATAGGCAGGTTTTGTTAAAGAGCCGCCCTCAAATTTTTTCATAAAACCCTTCAGGAATTTATGTTGTTTCTATGCAAATGTATGCAATTTGATCTTTGAGGTAGTAGTGGTATTATAGTGAGTTTTCAATCTCTCATTTTTTAACTATTAAATTATATTATATGTTTTTAAATTCTCAATATGAAATATGTCTTGCATCCTTTTTATTTTTTTTGTTTTAATGGCATGCGATTTGTTATCTTTGTGGATGCAGAAAAGGGAAAAATATCCTTTTAGGGAGCACACAAAAGGCTAATAGGAAGAAAAACTGATAACCTGTGGGTATTTGCACAAGCAACAGAACCGATATTTAACCAACTATGTAAAAAATAGATATATTTTTTTCTTTTTCATTATATGTCACAAGCAGGATGTATCCACTGATGTGTTTATAGGAATAATTTGAGAAATTTTAAAAGTGAATGAATGAGATCAAAATGTGAACAAAAGTATCAAATTTATCAATTGATTTAACCACATAAATACTTTACAAGGGATATTTTTGTTTCATTATTAAAAATAAGAGATATCATTTTTGAAATGACAAAATTTTTAGAAATGGCGAACAGATTAGTGGATTCCAGGAGTCAGAGATGGGAATGAGAAGAGGTGAGGGAGGTAGACGTTATAACATCAAGGGTCCTTGGGATGATGCAACTCTCCAATATCTTGACAATGGTGGTAGATTCGTGAACCTATACATGTGATAAAGTTACATAGGATTAAATATACACATACACTCAGACACATACATGAAAACACAAGTAAAGCTGGAATTTACTCATAAGATCAGTGGGTTTTTACCAATGTCAATATCCTGGTTGTGATAGTAGTTTTGTAAAATGCTATCTTTGGGAAAAACTGTATAAAGAGCACTTGAACTCTGTCTGCATTGTTTCTTATAAGTCTGTAAATCTAACATCATCTCCATAAATATTTCAAATAAAAGTTATGAAACGTGTCAAAGATTAAAAAGAAAAAGAAGGGATACTAATCACAGATATATTAATTATCAATTGTCCCAATAATGCTTTAGAAGTAACAACAACAACAACAACAACAACAACAAAAAAAAAAACCCAAAGGGCAGTGATATGTAAAAGCAAGGGCCATGCACAGGTATCTGGGATCAGCTGGGAATGTTAGGCACTCCTGATCTTGACTGGCCTGTTCATCCCTTTGGAGATCCACTGGCCATTTGCCTGTGTGCACTTCCTCAGTTCAGGAGGCTAAAGTGACTCTGCTTGGTATATGTTTCTAACCTTTTTCAGCAAAAGCATGTTCTCAAGATGACAGCAAGATCGAAGAGGAGAAGCAGACACAAAAGCTCTGGATCCTGGGCCATTGGCAAAGACTTGATCAGAGAGTGAGCGCGGAAGACCGCTATAAAGTTGAATTTTCAAGTTAAATGGCAAATGATATTAGTACAGGACAAGTTAAGAAACTGGTACAAATTTTCAATCTACCAAAATGTGAAAAAATTTTAAGGAGTTTCTGAAAGCATCCCTGTTAGAATAACCTTTTAGGATTCATCTGTTACAGAACTGGAAACTTGAAACCCAATCAATGTAAAATTTATAAAAGATAGTGTAAACACAATGATAAAGCAGAATATGTGGTAGAAGAAATTAGATGCCTCCTAATATCTATTTCCTTTTCTCCAAGATATGAAAACAGAGGCAAATTGGACAGCTAAAGGATTGTTTTTCAGGCTTCCTTAGATATAGGTTTGATAAATGAAATGGTCATTGTTCCTCTTAAAAGAATATTAGGAAAGCTGCCTTCCTAGAGAGTAGGTGTAAGCCCTTTGTTCTTCTTTCCTCTTTATTGTAGTCTTGCAATTCAGACCTGATAGCTGGAGCACCAGCAGATAAATCTTGGATCATAATGGTAGAATAAAAGGTAAGGAAAAGAGTCTGGTTCCCTGATGGACATGGAACCACCATGCCACCTTAAGTGGCATAATGCAGAGTTTTATAAATATAAAAGAATAAATATAAGTATGCTTGAACAACTGTTTTTTGGTTTCCCCTTTACAACTAAACACAATTTCTGATAAAAAATGGCATGTCACCATTACTTGACTCCATGTGTCTGTACTTCTACCATAGATTCTTCCCAGTGTAACACAGTAGACAAAATGTGTCTCATGCCATGTTTTTGCTCAAAGTCCTGAAAAGATTCCATCTACAATGACATTGTTCCATGAGTCTTTCCAACACCTGACCCCCAAATTCTCTTATGTCATCTCCACTAATTTTATATTCAGGACATTCTAGCCATGATGGCCTCTTGATGTCCCTTGAATATGCCAGATAGTCTCACCTTAACATTTCTGCCATAGCTATTCCCTGGCATTAGAATGTTCTTTTCCTGGATATCCTTTGACTTGTTCATTTGCTTCCTTTAAGTCTTTGTTTATCTGCCACCTTTCTGCTTATACTTATGTAATTGTGAGATTGTGAGATTGTACAACCTTTCATCTGCTTCCCTAGGATTTTCTTTGTCCCTTAGACTGACTCCATTTTTCTTTTTTTTTCCTGCCATGACTTATGTTTGTTCAGAACATCATATAATTCATTGGCTTATATTTTGTTGTGTGATTCACTAAGTGACACTAATCATAGATTAAAAATGTAAATATTAAAAAGTATTATTCAGAAATAACAATACAACCCTAACCACTGAGGAGGGATGAGATATTCATCAACATTTTTTTTCTTCTTAAAAGCAGTTTTATCAAATACTTTTTTATATTCTTCTTTTAGGGATTTCCCTACTTAGCTCTTTTTTAAAAAATCATAGTTAGCAATAGAAGTATTAAAACAGTGTTTGCCTTCTGAATTCTTCCATTACTTAGAGTAAAATAATTAAAGAAAACACATTACCCAGTCTTAACAAAAGAGAAAATTGATTAAACACTGAATAGAGACTCCAAGATTTGTAGGACTACAAAAAATATAACATTTGTATTTTTAGAAATGTACAAGGAGAAGGGGGAAAGGCAGGAATGGAATGTTCTTAAAGAAATAATGGCTACAAAATTTCTATGTTTGGCAAAAGACAAACCTACATATTTTGGATGCTGAGTGAACCCCAAGGAGGATAAGCTTAAATAAATTTTCTCTTCAATTTCACTTTATTTTTTAATTTTTTGTTTGCACAATATAATTATACATAATAGAGGGGTTCACTATGCTGTATCTGTATATACACATAGCATAAGTTGATTAATCTCATTCCCCAGTACCTTCCACTTCCTTCCCCTCCTCTTCACCTGATTTGATTGTTCTATGCTCTACTGATCTCCCTTCTATGATTATCAGTATTAGTATTATCCCAATTAGTGCATTAGAATTACACATATAAGCAGGATTCCTTGTAGGATATTTGTACATGGCCATAGCACAGTTTGATAGATTTAATTCCCCAGTACTTCCCCATGCCCTCCTTTCTTCTCTCCTTCTCAATCTACTTCTGCTACTACTTCTGTAATTCCTAGGTCTTTCATCCACTTTGAGTTGATTTTTTTTTTTTTTTGGTCTCCTATTTTTGTGAGATGCTGCCCTTTTTAAACCACACCCCTCCCCACCCCTAGCTTTCTAGCTTCTCCATATGAGAGAAAGCACTTGTTGTCTGGATTATTTCATTTAGCAGGATGTTCTCAAATTCTATCTTTTCACCAGAAAACATTATAGGTTTATTCTTTATGGCTGAATAAAATTACCTTGTGTGTATATATACGCCACATTTTCTTTATCCCTTTGTCTGTTGACAGGCAACTAGCCTGGTTCCATAACTTGGCTATTGTGAATTGCACTGCTATAAATATTGGTGTACGGATATTAATTTAATATGCTGATAGCTCTTTTGGATAAGTACCAAGGAGTGGAAAGCTGGGTCATGTGGTAGTTCTGTTCCTACTCTTTTGAGGAATCTCCATACTGCTTTCCAAAGTGGTTGTACTAATTTTCAGTCCTACCAATAATGTGAAAGTGTATGATTTCCTCCACATCCTCATCAGAATTTATTGTTATTTGTATTCTTAATGATTGCCATTCTAACTAGAGCAAGATGAAATCTTATTTTCAATTTTTACTTCACTAATTGTTAAGGATATTGAACATTCTTTCATACATATCTTTTTTTTCAATTTTTTTTTGTAGTTCTTCTTTTGAGATATATCTATTTAGTTCATTAGCCCATTATTAATTGGGTTAATTTTTTTCTTTTTTGGTGTTGTTTTGAGTTTTTATATATTCTCCATACTATACTCCTGTCAGAAGAGTAGCTAAGCAAAGATTTTTCTCTCATTCTGGAGGCTCTCTCTTCATGTTATAAATTGTTTCTTATGTTATGCAGAAGATTTCAAATTTGATGCCATTCCACTTAATTTTTAAAATATTTATTTTAAAAATATTTTAGTTGTACATAATACCGTTATTTTGTTTATTTATTTATTTTTATGTGGTGCTGAGGATCAAACCCAGGGCCTCACACATGCTAGGCAAGCGCTCTACCATTGAGCCATAACCACAGCCTGCCATTCCGTTTATTGATACTTGGTTTTATTTCTTAGAGTCTTATTAAGTATGTTATACCTTAACCAATATGTTGGAGATTTCAGCCTATTTATTCTTCTAAGAGTTACAGTGTTTCTGGTTTAATTCCTAGGTCTTTCATCCACTTTGAGTTGATTTTTGTGCAGGGTGAGAAATAGAGATAGTTTCATTCTTCTACATATGGATATCCAGTGTTCCAAGCATGATTTGCTAAAAAAGGCTATTGTTTTTTTTCCTCTAATGCATGTTTTTGGAAACTTTGTCAAGAATCAGATTATGGTATCTATGTGGATTTGTATCTATGTCTTCTATTCTCTCCCGTTGGTCTTCTTGTCTGTTTTTAACTCAATACTGGACTGGTTTTGTTACTGTATTTCTATAGAACAGTTGAGATCAGGAATTTTGATGCCTCCAGCCTGCACTTTCTGAGTCAGTATTTCTTTGGCTATTCTGGGTCTTTTATTCTTTCATATGAATTTTAGGACTGTTTTTTTCTAGTTCTGTGCAAGAAATGTCACTAGTATTTTGATGAGAACTGCATTAACTCTGCAGATTAACATGGCCATTTTGACAAGATTAATTCTTCCCATCCAAGAGCATGGGAGATTTTTCCATCTTCTAAATTCTTTTTATTTATTTTTTTCAGTGTTCTATAATTTTTGTTGTGGAGGTTTTTTATCTACTTGGTTAGATTTATCCCCAAGTACTTTTCTAAGTGATTGCAAATGGCATTGTTTTTCTGATTTTTTTCCTCAGCAGATCATTATTGGAGTATAGGAAAACTATTGAGTTTTGTATGTTGAGCTTGTATTTTGCTACTCTGCCAAATTTGTTTATCAACTCTAGATGTTTTCTACTGGAGTTCATTGGGTCTTCTAAGTGTGGAATATGTCATCAGTAGTCAGAGATAATTTATAATTTGATTTCTTCTTTTCCAGAAATTCACCATCATAATCAAGCTTTTGAAATATAAAAACAAAGAAAAAATATCGAAAGCACCAAGAGAGAAGAGACACCTTGTTGAATGGGGATAAACAATTAGGGTGACAACAGATTTCTCAACTGAATTCAGGGAGGCCAAAAGAAAATGGCACAGTATCTTTTAACTCTGAAAAATAACTGTGGCCCAAATTCCTGTATCAAATAAAATCTAGCTTTTAGCAATGAAGAGAAAAAAATCAAGAACTTCTTAAATAATTTGTCATTAGAATGGCAAAAAAAATCACCTAAATAAAAGAAAATAACCAAGAAAGGAATCTTAGAACATTAGGAAGGAAAAAATTATCCAGCAAAAATATGGATGAATACTCTTGGCTTCTCTCTCTTAAGTTTCTAAATTATGCTTGATGATTGAAATAAAAATGGCAGTAATGCAAGAATGTCCACTCTCACAACTGTTGTCAATATATTGCTAGATTTTCTAGCCCATGGAACAAGGCAAGAAAGGGGGAAACTCATGCAAAGAAGAAAGGAAAAAATAAAAGTTTCTATTTGCACATGGCACTTTGAAATTCCCAGGGAACCTCCAAAAATATTTTAGAAGTGATAAGTGAGCTAGAAACTTATAAGAGAACCAGACAAAATCAATGATATTTACATTAACTAATAACAACAAACACTTGGACAGTGAACACAAAAATTCAATGTTCTTGAGAGTCCTCAAAAAGGTAATTCTTCAACATGAACTTTAAAATATTTGCAGAACTTGTATGTTGAAAAATACATTGCTGATGAAAGAAACTAGAGTAACCCTAAAGAAAAACCTATTTTTTTTCCCGCAGATCAATGACTAAACATAATAGGGATGTTAGTTCTTCTTCAAATTTACATACAGACTTGATTCCGTTTCTTTCGAAATCCCAATAGAAAATTTTTGTAGATATTGACAAGATTTATCTAAAACTTATATGGAAGGTCAAAGGAACTAGAATATCTAAAATAATTTTGAATAAGAAAAATAAACTGAGAGGAATCACCCTACCTACTGTCAAAAGCAATTATATGGATAATGAATCAAATTGCGTGGTGAAGAGATAAACACATATATAAATGGATCAGAATAAAACCCCAGAAACAGATCCACATGTATATGCCAAACTGATTTTTGAAAAAGGTGCAAGAACAATACAGTTTTCAACAAATATTGCTGGAGCAATGGGACAAAATGAAATAATAACAAAAAAAAACCTAAAATAATAACAACACCCCTGACCTAACTTATACCTTATAAAACATTAAACATGAACATAAAACAGATTATGGATTTAAGTATAAAATATAAAAAATAAGGCTTTTAGAAAAAGCAGGAGAAGCTGGGTGCGGTGGAGCACTCCTATAATTCCAGCAATTTGGGAGTTTGAGGCAGGAGGTACACAAATTTAAAGCCAGTCTCAGCAACTTAGTGAGATACTAGGCAATTTAGGGAGACTGCATCTCAAAATAAAAAATTAAAAGGTCTGAGAGTGTTGCTCAATATTTAAGCACCCCTGAAAAGCAGGAGAACATCTTTGGGATATAGACTAGACACAAATTTTTATATTTAATATCAAAATCATAATCATAACATGAAAAGTCAATGAATTTGGCTTCATCAGAATTGAAAACATTGTTATAAAAGGTCCCATAAGAGAATTATAAAACAAGCTACAGAGTAGGAGGAAATATTTCAAAGCACATACAACAGAGGACTAATATGTAGAATATTAGTCTGAAACTCAACAATTAAAAAAATAATCCAACAAGAACATGGAGTAAAGACATGAAAAGGCCTTTCTCTGAGAAAGATATACACACCTGATTAATATGTACCTTAAAATATATTCAACATCATAAGCCATCAGGGAAATGCAAATTAAAACTACAATGAAATATTACTACACATCTATTAAAATGGCTAAAATATAAAGTATTAACACCGCCAAATGCTAATGAGGATACACAGCAACTGGGTCATTTACTCCTTATTGGTAGAATATAAAATTGAACCTCCACTTTGAAAAAGAATTTACTTTTTTTTAAAAAAACTATACATACAAATAACGTACTGTCCAGCAATTATACTCCTGGGCATTTATCCCAGAGAAATGAAGACCTATATTCTCACAAAGCAATTTTTTTTTTTTTGGTACCAGGATTGAACCCAGGGCTGTTTAAACACTGAGCCCCATTACCAGCCCTTTTTATTTTGCATTTTGAGACAGGGCCTCACTAAGTTGCTGAGGCTGGCTTTGAACTCATTATCCTCCTAAATCAGCCTCCAAGCTGCTGAGATTATAAACGTGCACCACTGTGCTGGGCTACTATATACAAATGTTTATAGCAGCTTTACTCATAACAACTAGTGACTAGAAACAACTCACATGCGCTACACTAAGTAAATATTTAAATAAACTGTGCCCTACCCATATCATAGAATACTATTCAGCAATATAAAATAATAAGTTATTGATATATGTTGCATCCTGAATGTGACATTCTGTATGTGTCATCAGTGAATTATGCCAAGGGAGAAAAAGTGTCAATTTTAATGGTTACACATTATTCCATTCATATGACATTATTGAAGAAAATTAAAGAAATGAACAACAGAAAAAATGGTTCTCAGGGGCTAAAGAGGAAGTAAGAAGAAGTAAGGGGGTGTGAACCGATAGTACATATAAGAAGTCCTTGTGATGGTAGACATATTCTGTATCTTGACTCTGTCAATGTCAATATTCTAATTTTGATATTGTATTATAGTTTTTCAGGTGTTACAATCAGAGAAAACCGGGTAAAGGGTGTGCAGGCGATCTCTTACAAGTATTTGTGAATCCCAATGATCTCGATATAAAATGCTTTATAGAAAGAAAAAAAAAAGATTCTCATATTAAAAAATTAAAATCCAGTTTTAGAAGTCAAGTGACAATTGACTCATCAAGATTTTTCTTTTTTAAAGCACAAACCACTTTGGTCAAGAAAATATTCACAAAGAGAAAGTAGAAGTCGTAAAGGAGATATCAGAAAAGGTAGAATGAAGAATTTTGTAAAATCTTAAATACAAGCATCACTATTAAGATTTGGTGGATATGAAATGTCATTACCCAAATTTTGTCTAAGATCCTCTAATTCTGAAAGATTGTCACAAGAAAGGGCAAGTATTAGGTGAACATTCAATAGACTTTGGGCAATTTCTTAATGATACATTCCTCTTTGAAAATTAGCAATATCAGAGTTTGTAAAAATTGGTAGTAAAATCCCTCTCTAACACAGTCCAGCATTTTTGACCTTAGGACTCTTTTTCAATTAACTCTGATAGCTCATGCTAAGCTGTCTAAGACTGAGCAGTTGAAGACCTGCCCTGCAAGAACCTGGCCCAGAGTTGTACAGGCACTCAGACAGAGCCAGGATCAAGGCTTAGAATTCATCTCTCAACTCCCACCATGACACAGAGGGGCTGCTCCTTACAATCACAAACAAAGACATGACTCTTGTTAATAGTTTTCTTCTTCCTTCAGCCACAGATATAGGTTAGAATCCCAAGCACCACACCAAGCAGAGGAAGAGGACAGACTTTCCCCAAAATTCAGATGCTTTTAGGCAGAATGGGGATCCAGCTCCAGGTTCCTATATGTCTTAGTTTCATGTTTCAGTTCCAGATCATTCCAGGGGCGTGGTAGGGCCCAAATTCCTTAACCAAGTCCTATGAGGACCTCATTGTCCAAGCCTGGCTCTGATTTGGATTAATTTCTGATGCTACCCTAGAAGGCAGGGGTCAGTGGGCCTAAACACTACTCTCTTCTCTCTGGCTGACTTTCTCTCAAAAAATCCTGCTCTGGCAGGTCTGACCACTTGTTCTTTTTGTCTGTTTGTTTGGATTTTTTTTTCCCACATTTTTGAGCTCAGATGAATCTTAGAGGCAAATTCTTTTGAAATTTTTAAGAGAAATCTAATGCCTATGTGTATAAACTATTACTGAATAGAAAAATATGCAAGTCTTCTTATTTCATTTTACAAAATAGGGCTTTTTTGGTTTTCTTCCTTTTATTATTCCTGAAAGGACCTCTCCACTCCACCCCCAAATCGAGCAACTCACTTCTCAGACTCCCACGCTTCATTCTCATGAATCGCCTACTCACTTCCGAAGTCACGTTCCCCTAAGAAGCTTTCCTGATGTCTAAGGTAAGTTTTTTCTTGTATTTTCTTCTCCATGTGATATATTCCTTTTGTAGCCTACTTCCTTTTAGCTGGTGATTCAATGCTATTTGCAGACTTAGCCCTTTCTGACATAATAAGTGTTAGTTTCATAGTGAATGTGTACATGCATGAAGCAACTTCATTAATACCTTCTTAGATCCTAGACTTCACAGCATCCAAATATAACTAATGATTGAGAAATTTGACCTACATATAAGGAAGTTTGGATTCAGAGAAAATGACTATATTAACCAAGTCAAACAAAATGCCCAAACAAAATAACTTCTGAAACACACTTGAAATATAAAGCACTTTCTAAAAATATGGTCTTAAAGTTGTCAATAAATACTAAGGATCATCTTCCTGGTGACCAGGTTAACCCCGTGAATCCAGGAACACTTTGTCTTTTGTCCGGCTGAAATGTATTTTTATGTGTCTGAGGCAAATGATGGTTTAACTCTTCTCTGAGTCACTTAAACTCCATTGGGAATGAGTTAAATTAGACAAAATCCTTTCATAAAAAGATATATAAACATACATATACATATATACACACATATATATTTAGAGAGAGCAATCTTTTTTTTTTTTTGATAAATAAAAAGTGTTTTAAGACTAAGTTCCACTCCTTTTGACTCTGCTACCCATCAGTTAAAGAAGGGGATGAGGTGAATTGGCAGAACCAGAACGTATAAGTTCTAGAATATAATATGAAAGTAGGTAATAGAGGGAGGCCAGAGGCAGGATACTGTCACTAAATGGCCCATCAGTAACTTCACAGTGATCCTCAGTGGAAAGTGACGCAAGTAGGTTGACTTTGGAAGGGCTTTAATTCTTGGAGCAATCACCCATCAAAGTTTTCTGTTTCACAAGTGATACAATCAGAACCTATTACACGAGACACAGCTTGCTCTTTTCCTAAGCTTGGGGGCAAATCTGTCCACCCACGGAAAAGAATTTATCAGTTCACCTCCTACTCTCCAGAAAGAACTGCCTTGAAGTCCCTGTGCCCAAACCCACCCTGAGTCTGCCAAAATACATAATCTGTCTTGCACATTCCAGCTAAAAGTGAAGTTTTCCCTCTTACCAGCACTGGTCTCATCGTTCCTAGCCATTTTGGAGCTGTGACCTGTCAGGCCACGAGGATCCAAGATACTCCTTTTGCGACGCTTGCGCTTGCCCT